CAGAGGCAATGGGAGGAGCATAACAAGTTTGAGGTTAGCCTGGGCAATTTAGTGAGACCATGTCCCACCCCCTTCCTCCCCAAAAAAGTGGGTATGTAACTTAGTAGGAGTTTGCCTAGCATGTGTGAGGCCCTAGGTTCAATCCACAGCACAAAAACAAAAATTCAGAAATCCCTTTATACTCTTAAAAAAGTTTTAAGGATCTCAAAGGGATCTTGCTTATGCACATTTTATTTAATAATATTTATTATATAAAAAGTTAAAATGGACCTGGGCGTTATGACCCATGCCTGTAATTCCAGTGACTCAGGAGGCTGAGACAGGAGGATGGCAAGTTCAAAGCCAGCCTTGGCAGCTTAGTGAGGCCCTGTCTCAAAAATAAAAAGGGCCAGGGATATGGTTCAATCTCTGGTACCAAAACAAACAACAACAAAACAAAACAAAGCAAAACAAACTTCCAGCCAACCAAATAGAATAACAGCACACCCATTACATATTTTTATAAATAACTTGAAAAAATTTTTTTGCCATATCAGAAACTGAACCCAGTGATGCTCTACCAGTGAGCTATATCTCTAGCCCTTTTAACTTTTTAATTTGAGACAGGGTGTGGCTAAATTGTTCAGTCTGGCTTTGAACTTGCAATCTTCCTGCCTTACTCTACTGAGGCTGGAGTTATGGTTTTCAGGCAATAAATAACACCTGGCAATAAATAATATTTTTAAAAGAAAAATAACAGCCAGGTGCAGTGGCACACGCCTGTAATCTCAGAGGTTTGGGAGGCTGAGTCAGAAGGTTTGCAAGTTAAAAGCCAGCTTCAGCAACTTAGAGAGGCCCTAAGAAACTCAGTGAGACCCTGTCTCTAAATAAAATATAAAAAAGGGCTGGGGATGTACCTCAGTAGTTCAAAGCCCCTGAGTTCAATCCTTGGTACAAAAAAAAAAAAAAAAAAGAAAGAAAGAAAGAAAGAAAGAAAAAGAAAACAAACAATGTTTTCTAAAACAAAATTCAGGGTGAAGTGTTATTATTTTGCATTTTGCAAATCTCTTTAATGTCTCACTTAATGTAAGACAGCTTGATTCTCATATCTGCTTCCACATTCCCTGTGATGCCCTATTATACATTATGTAGGCTGTGGAACACTCTATTCTACACTCATGAGAGAATGGGAATGGAAAAGGCAAATGATATTTTAGTATTATTATGAAAATATCTTTTACTTCATTACTCCCTGAGAAGGTCTCAGGGGTCCCCTGAGTATACTTTGAGAACCATTACTGTAACATTTATAGTTTAGAAGGCATCATCAAAAGAGACTAAGAAGCAAAGCCAATGAGGATGGAGGGAAATCACAAGAGCCTGGTGCTCTGAAGGCCCCATGAGGAAAGTGTTTTGAGGAAGACAGTGACCAATTGCTGCTGATTATATAAGACCATGAAGGAAAGAGGTTGATCATTGTGGTTGGCAACTGGAGGCCATCAGGGACCTTGATAACAGCAGCTTTGGTGGAGAGGTGGGTGCTAATGCCTGCCTAGAGTATGTCACAACATGAAGGTTACTTCCTTAGGTTACTGAATCCCAGATTGGGTTTTTTTTTTTTTTTTTACCCTTACCCTACTTGTATCTCTCCCCTCTCCTCATACTTGCTCTTTGTTTTTATGGTTTATCCCATGTTTATAAAAAAAATTATCTCTATTATTATTATTATTATTATTGGCAGTACTGGGATTGAACTCAAAGCTTTGTACATGTTAGGCAAGTGCTCTACCACTGAGTTACATCCCTAACTGCCCTCTTCCCCACTTTTTAAATTTTGAGATAGGATCATGCTAGGTTGTCCTGGATGGTCTATGTGAAATCTTTCCTCAGCTTCCTGAGTGACCAAGCCCATCTTATCATTTCATTTTAAGTAGCCTGAAAACAGGATCAAGCCAGTTTTAATCAGGTTTTTATTTGTATCCTCATCACATAGCAACTACCTAGGATATAATGCACAAGTTTTCCCTAGTAAGATTTTAGAGTTTCTCAGTGGGGAACTGACTCTCCTCAGATTAAGCCACACTGAATCTCTTATAATTCTATCACCTGACCCTGTTTTTCTCAAAATAAACCCTGTACTTTCATCTTTAGGGCCCCATGCTTGCTTTAATGCTCTGCTGTTGCTGTCTTGAAATTGTTGAAAAATTTGAACCAGAGGCCTTGCAAATAAAGTAGTTAGTCCTGAGTGAAGCAATGAATATACAAAATAATGAAGCATAATTCTTTTTTAAAAATATTTATTCTTAAGTTTTAGGTGGACACAATATCTTTATTTTACATTTATGTGGTGCTGAGGATCAAACCCAGTGCCTCGTGCATGCTAGGTGAGCACCTACCTCTGAGCCACAAACCCAGCCCGAAGCATAATTCTTTAACTTTTTTTTAGTGGTGCTGGGGATTAAACCCAGGGCCTTATTCATGTGAGGCAAGCATTCTATCAACCGAGCTCTTCCCTCGCCCTTAACTTTATTTCTTGTACTTCAAAATATTTATTGATTATTGTGTTCTGATGTAGCCAGGAAGAGGAGGGGGGAAGCATAACCACTTTAGGAAGAGGGAACTACAGAAGCAAAGACCCTAAACTAGCAACAGAATGGGGGTAGAGCTAGACAATAATGGCCTTATCAAAGTTTATCTTTCAAAAAAAAGGGGGGGATTCACTTCCTACTTCATGGTCCTATTGCCTTTTTTCAGCACTTTTCTTTCTCTTCCTCTTCTGGGGATTCAACACAAAGCACTCTACCAATGAATTATATCCCCAATTCCTTGTCAAATAAAATTTGACACAGGATCTCACTATGTTTCTTGGAATGGGTGAACTTCCTGCCTCAGCCTCCCACCTCAGTGGCTGGGAATATAGGAGAGTGTCACTAAGCCTGGTCAATCAGCACTTTTTTTTTTTTCTTTTAGTACCAGGGATTAACCTAGTGGCTCTTACCTACTGAGCCAAGCCACATCCCCAGCCCCTCCTCCCCTTTTTTTATACCTTTATTTTATTTATTTTTATATGGTGCTGAGGATTGAACCCAGGGCCTCACACATTCTAAGTGAGCACTCTACTGCTGAGCCACAACTCCAGGCTCCTCAACTCCTAGGCTTTTTTATATTTTATTTTGAGACAGGGTCTCCCTAAATTGCTGAGGCTGCCTTTTGAATCTGTGATCCTCCTGCTTCAGCCTCCTGAGAGGCTGGAATTGCAGGTGTGGGTCACTGTGCCAGGCTCAGCATCTTTAACTAGCACAAACTCATAGGCTTTAAATTACAGTGGGCAGTGGATTGTGGTGGTGCACACTTTTAATCCCAGTGATTCAGGAGTCTGAGGCAGGAGAACATCAAGTTTGAGGTCAGCCTCAGCAATATAGCTAGACATTGTTTCAAAAGAAAAAATAAAAAGGGCTGGGCGCAGTGGTGCACGCCTGTAATCCCAGCAGCTAGGGAGGCTGAGGCAGGAGGATCGCCAAGCTCAAAGCCAGCCTCAGCAAAAGCCAGGCGTTAAGCAACTCAGTGAGATCCTGTCTCTAAATAAAATATAAAGTAGGGCTGGGAATGTGGCTCAGTGGTTGAGTGCCCCTGAGTTCAATCCCTGTCACCTCCTCCAAAAATAAATAAATAAAAGGGCTGGGGATATAGCTCAGTACCAAAGCTCCCCTGGGTTCAATCCTTATTACGTGGGGGTGGAAAAATCACAGTGGGCACATTTACCCACAGATGTTCTCTGGGCAAAGGGAGATTTGAGTAGAGGGTAAACTCTAAAACCCTGCTCAGCGCTCAGTGCAAAGACAGCTATGGATATTGTTATCTTGCATTAATTTGGATATAAAAGCCAATACTAAAATCGGTCTTATGTATCATTCCTTGATACAGGAGAAACACCATTAGGTCTTTTTTTTTATACCAGGCTGATACTAAGTCCCTAAGGTATATATGTATAGACATATATATTTATTTGTCTTGTTTTGTTTTTAAGTATTCACCAATATGTTAAAGAAGGGTGTCAATAAAATTCCTTAAGTGATCAGAAGGATAGGGATGGAAGTCAGGTCCCTCAAATATGTTTATGTGTGTGGAAGAAGGTGACAATCCCAGGAGGGGATTCTGCTGCGGTGGGCCTCCTGTCTTGGATCAGGAGGGCTTTAGGTATAGGAAACAGGTTAGGTGATTTTTTGGTTGCTTTCTCCTTTTTCTTTTTGGTGGTTCTGGGGATTGAACCCAGGGACTCTCTACCACTGAGCTACTTCCCCAGACTATTTTATTTTATTTTTTAATTTTGTGAGAGGGTTTCGCTAATTTGCTCAGGTTGGACGTGATTCTACTGCCTCAGCCTTCCAAGTAGCTGGGATTACAGGCCAGTGCCACAGTGCAGGCTCAACCTCACTATCAGAGAGTCGATTTCTAGTTTCATTCCACCTCAAACTGTGGGTCTTTTACTTAGCCACAAACCGCACCCCCCCCCCCCCTTTTTTTAAAGCCAGAGCGTGGGCTTAGAGCACTTTTCTGAGAGCCTAGTACTCGGAGACACCTGTGACACTCCCCCAGGAGTGTGCCCAGGACTACGCCAAGCCGCACTTCAGCCACTGGGCGGAGGCGGGGTCTAGCAGGGCTGCGCCCGGAGATTCACCTGTGCGTCGAGAGTTGACTCACCTGCCCTTCCCCAGCCCTCCCCCGCCAGCTAGCTGTTCCAGGAGCCACCGCTCCTCCTCCCGCTCGGGGGTCACTGTCGGTCTGAGCGCCCACGAAATTCCCGAGATGAGTAATTCTCGGGGCAGGGGCGAAAAGATATAGGTCCTCCGAGGGTCCGGGCCTGTAGTATGAGCTCTTCCCCTCGGCGCCGGCCGCGAAAGGCCAGGAAAAGCGGGCGGGGCAGCAGGGGGAGGCGCCGGGAAGAGCGTGCCGGAGGGAGGTGCCGGGAAGGGCGGGCGGGGCCCGGGCCGCGGGCGGGGGGCGGGTGCGCCGGGCGGCCCATTTCCTCCTCTGAGCCGGACAGGAGGTAGACAAAGCGGCGGCCGTCGGCTTCGCGCCTCTGGACTCCTGCTATCGTCCCGTTCGACGCAGGTAACTCTTCGCACCCCCTTTTGCGCAGACGTGAGTTCCCATCTGGGCAAGGGGCCCTTCAGGCCGGGACGCCTGAAGCCGGGCCTTGTGGTGGGCTGGCGGAGCGCAGTCTCTTGGGCGACGCTGTCTGGGAGATTGGGCTCCAGGCGGGTAGGGTCAGGCGTCCTGCGGGCGGCCGCTTCGCCGGGGCCTGGGCACTGTGCGTGCGGGGCCCGAGCTTTCCAGTGGTCGGGAAGTTGAGGGGCAGCGGCGGCTGGAGAAGAGACGCCGCTGGCCCGGCGCGGCCGCGGCGCTTCCTCTTGGAAAAGTTTCTCCTGTTTTCTAAACTTTGTTCCCGGGGCCTTGGCGCGTGCGCGGGTTCTTGTGGTGCGCCCCCAGCTGCCTTTCCTCTGGTGGTGCGTCCGCGCCTTGTGCCTGTGCGGGTGTGTTCCAGCAGTTGAGTTTTCCAGGGAAGTGATTGTTGTCTGGTTTTGTGGCTGCTGCTCCCCTCCCCCTCCTGGCCACGGAAACTTCCCAGTGCGCTGGACACGACGTTGGCAGGACCCGAATTCCGGCCTGGGCGAATTTGAAAGTCGAAGTTCTCCCTTTCTCTGACAGTCTCTTTGGTAAGGTGCGCCACACCCGTATGGACTTTGGCGTGTACATATCAACCTTTACTTTGAAAGTACTCAGTCGCCTTGTTCTACCTAATTGGATGTATTTCACTCAGTCTTAGTTTTTAGAAATGGCATTAGAGAATTTGTTTTTTGACTTTTGAAGGTTTGTGTGTGTGTGTGTGTGTGTGTGCACGCGCGCGCGCGCGCCTGTGCGTGCGCTGGGGTGGAGGTGGGGAGGGAGAAAAACACGAGAAAACTGGTCAGGAAGGATGTTGACTGACTGTTTAAGCTTGGCTCGGCAGCTGTGGCTTCCCAATACTGCAGGCAGCGGTTGTCTCCAATCCCGGATTGGAACCCTGTTGTGTCCTCCTGAGTCTTTGTAACATTCGGGGGTGTGTTTTGTACGGAATTTATAATAACTTAGAAAATAAGGAAAGATATGTTAGGTTTCCCAGTAAATTTAAAACCATTTCATATTTAGGATGAAGGAAATGCTGGCGGTTTGATGAAAGGATACTTTGTACTTAGAAGTGATTTTTTTAAAGGTCATCCACGCGGTTTTAAGAAACAGGATTTGTAAAGAGTGGAGGAATCATCCATTGTCTCTGCTCAATTGTTTACCTTCTTGAATTTTTGTAAGTTAATTTTTCCCCCCCTTTTATTTGGGAGCACACATGGTCTTTGCCCTTAAAGGGCTCACAGCATATTGGAAGAGGCACACACACAGATGTAACAGACTGCTCTAAAGCCGTGACAATACTGATAAGAAACTGTGTGGGTCTAATTTTATGTAGTACTAACAGCAGAAGAAACTTGTGGAAGCTCAACAGAGAGCTGATGAGTTTATTTTGATGTCTGGAAAGGCAGATTTTGGGAGGTGGTGTATTTGAATCAGACAGAACTTGAGTTTTAAAACTTTATATGAAGGGAGAAAGTCATGAGATGCATAAGAGGGCGTGGGATATTGTGATATCACTTTCCAGGTTTTTCCTTTACTTTTGGCTACTCTTTCCTCCCTCCCCCATGTAAGTTCTATCCAGAATACCTTTGGTCTTCCACACCATTGATGTGGCATCACCTTCACTTTCATTAGTTAACATCTCATTTTACATACTGACTTAGAGATCTAAGATCAACTCTTCCCCCTAGTTGAAAATCAGTGCTCTCTGCAGTCTCTCATTAACCTTAAGTACTAATATCCAACTGTCCATTTTGAATACAGATGTCTTCTCTGCAGCATCCATATAGTCATCTAAGTCCCAGGGAACTCTTTGAATGTCCTACATGCTTTTCAAACTCAGCACGTCTAAAATGAGACTCTGTTCTCTTCAGGAGGCATAAACCAGATGTGGAGATTCAGAGTAACTGGCAGGGTCTTGGAATTCTTTTGAGAAAGTATCATTAGTGTAAGACATGACAGCCCTGTGTTTTGGGGGTGGTGATGGTGTGTGTGTTGGTGAAGATCTAGACAGGAATAGGATCCTCTGCAGGTGTAAAGGGCCTGAGATAGGAGAGACTTAATGTGTTTGGAGGCCTTGAGACTTGTAGCCTAGGACTCTTGGGATAGACAGAAGGCTTCACATGAGATAGCCAGGGAAGAGAGAGGCCAGGCCAAAGAGGGCCATATGTTTATTTTATTTTATTTTTTGGTACCAGAGACTGAACCCAGGGGCACTTAACCACTGAACCACATCCCAGCTCTTTTTTATTTTTTATTTTTGAGTCAGGGTCTCACTAAGTTGCTTAGGGCCTTTGCTAAGTTGCTGAGCTGGCCTCCAACTTGGAATCATCCTGCTTCAGCCTCCCAAGTCCCTGAAATTATAGGCATGTGCCACCACCTCTGGCCCATATGTGGATTTTATTCTAAATCTGTAAGAACCATTGTAGGGAGTTTTGTGATCTAATAACCATTTTAACTTCTGTTGATGCTTAGAGAAGACTTATTTGTATGCATGGGGAATCAGGTAGTTGAGCTAGGAACTTAGATGGCAGGGAATAAAGGTGGTAGGGATAAAGGAGCAGTATTTTGGAGGAATGAAAGAGGATTTAAGTATGGATTGGATGGCTAGGTTTCTTTGTAACATTGTTTCTTCTGTGATGCAAGTTTTGTGTTTTACCCCTAACTCTCCCCCCCACCCCCATGAGCTCTTAATTAGTGTCTAGTTTTAGTTCTTTCATTTTTGGTAGCATTGTTTATTGCTTACATTTTAAGGAAAACTTTAATTGTGCTGTACCTTTTTAAGAAATTTATTTATTGTTGTAGATGGACACAATACCTTTATTATTTTTATGTGGTGCTGAGGATTGAACCCATGGCCTCACACTCTACCCCTAAGCCATAACCCCAGTCTTGTGCTGTACCTTGTTAATGTCCCAGTTTGCCTTTCCTGATAGAAAGTGAGCCTCATAAGCTCCCTGAAGGCAGGAACGGATGGCCTCAGTTGTTGGGGTGGCACTTGGCAAGGAGAGAAGATTAGATTCTTGTTGAAAAAAGGAGAACCAGATGTGGCGGCCCACACCAGTAACTCCAGTGATTTGGGACATTGAAGCAGGAGGATGGTAAGTTTGAGGTCAGCCTCAGCAACTTAGTAAGACTCTTTTTCAGTATAAAAAATAAAAAAGGCTAGGGATGCAGCTTAGCATGAAAGCATGGGTTCAATCCCCAGTACCAAAAACAAAACAGAAACAGAGGTCTTTTATTTTAGGGTTTAACTCCTGGGAGAACACTAGTAAGTGAGGCAACTGATTGTGGAGGGCCTGGAATATCAAATTGCTATTTTCTGTAAATTGAAAATCATCTCCAGTTCTGTTTTTCTTTCCTTCCACCTAGATATAATCTTTGATGAAATCATCTCTCTACAGTGTCCAATTTACATATCTTCCTTTTCTGTTCTTTGCTTACCCTATTTATTTTCGTATACTGGGGATTGAAGCCAGGGGTGCTCTACCATCGAGCTAGACCTCTAGCCCGTTTTACAAATTTTTTTTTTTCTTGTGGGAGTTTGTTTACTGGGGATTGAACTTAGGGGCACTTGACCACTGAGCCACATCCCCAGCCCTATTTTGTATTTTATTTAGAGACAGGATCTCACTAAGTTGCTTAGTGCCTTTCTTTTGCTGAGGCTGTCTTTGAGCTCTTGATCCTTCTGTCTCAGCCTCCTGAGCTGCTGGGATTATAGGTGTTTACCACTGGGCCTAATTGTTGACTTTTTAAAAAAGATTTTTTTTTTAAAAGTTGTTGATGGACCTGTATTTTATTTATTTATATGTGGTGCTGAGAATCAAACCCAGTGCCTCACACATGCTAGGCAAGCACTCTGCCACTGAGCTACAACCCCAGCCCGTAGTTTGACTTTGATACTGGGTCTCACTTAGTTGCTAAGACTTGATCTTGAACTTTCTCGCTCTTCCCTCTTTCCCCAGTCGTGGTGATTGAACATGCAAGGTATGCAGTCTATTACTGAACTAAACCCCCTGATCCAAACTTTTGATCCTCCTTTTTCAGCCTTCCAAGTATCTAGGATAATAGAAGGCAAGAGCTACTGTGCCCCACTCTAAATTCTATTCCCTCCCCCGCTTTTTTTTGATGGTGCTGGGGATTGAATCTGGGGATACTTTACCACTGAGCTACATCTTAGCTCTTTTTCTACACCTATTTTCTTTGTTTTTTGAGAACATGTCTTGGAGTCCCAATATGTTACCCAGGCTGGCCTTGAACTCCTAGACTCTAGGGATTCACCTGTCTTCCAAACAGCTGGGACTACAGGCATGTACCACCACACCCAGCTTAACATGCTTTTTCCATTTCTTTTTGTACTAGAGATTGAACCCAGGGGTGCTTAACCACTGAGCTACATTCCTAGCCCTTTTTATTTTGAGACAGGACATCAATCACTAAGCTGCTGAGGCTGGCCTTCAACTTGCCATCCTCTTTCCTCAGTCTCCTGAGTTGCTGGGATTACAGGCATGTGCCACTGCACCCTGCAAACATGCATTTTGCATGGAAACTTTGATCACTGTCGCTGAAAATAATTTTTATCTGAAATCCTAAAATTTGCACCTGACACATGACATTCTCACTATCCTTTGTGTGTGTGTGTGTGTGGGGGGGGGCAAATTATATGTAACAAAATAAACCACTTGCACTCTTAAAGTGTATGCTTCAGTGGCATTAAATCCATTCACATTAAACAATAACTTCCCATTCCCAACTGTCATCCTGTTTTTTATTTTTTTTAATCTCTCTGTCTGTTTTTCTTTCCTGTGTTGGGCCTCCCATATTCTAGCAAGTGCTCTACCCCTGAGCTATATCCCCAACCCTTGTATGTATGCATGCATGTATGTATTTATTTTTGTGACTGGTTTTAACATTGTCATAAAGGTTTATTCATTTTGTAACATGTT